TTTTTATTTAAGCTAAAATCAAATTCTATATATAATTAACATTAGATTCAATATAATGCATATCTTTTATTTTACATAATTTTATTAAAACCTCTTTTTTAAAGATTTTTTTACATAKAAACCAAACTATGAACCGTCTAAAAGAAATCTAAAAAGCTTGAACAAGTCTAATGAAAAAAATAACAAGTCAATCAGACTCCTATGTATCCAGAATAGTCACAATACTAGCTATTATTGTTCTATTTTGTGCAATCGCATGTAAAAAAATAGGGTTTCAATAAGTTTTTTTGTCGATGTTGCAAATGAATATATTATCACTAATGTAAGCAAATTGCAAAAATATTCAACAATTATATCAAAGTAGGTAACAACACAATATTTATTTGGTGAATAAAAATATTTTAAGAGAATATATGCATCATGACAAAAYAATTCTCATAATACACATCRTATGATTATAATCAATATTTTCACATATTTTTTTTATGATTTTGAACCAATTACAAAGTTTGATATAATAAAAGATTGATATATAAGACTTATTAATAAATAATTATACATATATATATATATGGGGAGCGATCAAATAAAACCACTCAATTTGTAAAAACCGTAAAAACCTTATTCCACCAATCATAATTTTTTATTTTGTTCATTTTTTTGTAATTATGAAAGGTTGATTAATCATTTTTATTGTGGAGGTTGTTAATCATGGATATTATCATCTTCATTATTTTAATTTTAGAGAAATACATGAAACAGTTTCATTAAAATTTCATTAAGTAATATATAAAACAATTTCATAACCATATATGAAACAACTTCATAAAAAAAAGTATTATATGAAATAATTTCATGAAAAAATTTCATAAGATTAAACAATGAAATCGATGAATGAGAGTAGTTTTTACGGTTTTTACAAATTGGAGTGGTTTTCATTTGATCGCTTCTCTCTTTCTCTCTCTCTCTCTCTATATATATATATATATATATATTAAAAGAACAACCAATAATGATAAGGTRGATTCATATATCAAATGTAATATTGATTCTTATTAATTTGATATATAAATATAATCATCGATTCATTTAGCTAACTTCAGTAATTTTAAAAAAGATTATTGTCACCATGCAACGCATGGTATCAAACACTAGTTTATCATTAAGAGAGAGAGAGAGGGAGGGAGGGAGAGAGGGAGAGAGAGATGGGGATTTGATACTCTCCTGACAATCACCTTGTCACGCCCAAATCTTCCATTCCCTCTTCACACTCTTCAATTTTGATATTTTACTTAATTTCAATTTTCAATATTTAATAAAAAAATCATCACTTAATCATATATATATATATATATATATATATATATATATAGACTTAGGTTCATATGAGACCAAAGCTTTTTCGTGAGACCCGTAAGACCAATTCTCAACCCTTGGATTAGATCTACAATCTCAATATTTATAATCATAAAATTGCCACGAGATTTCTCAATAATTACAAAATTGCCATCGTGTAATTTTAAACCATTAGATCATTAGCTTATAAAGTTGATCAATGAATATAAATTGGTCTCACGAAAAACCTTTGGTCTCACGTGAACCCAACCATATATATATATATATATATATATATATAATTATTGAATTTTTTTAATAGAAAATGACAATTTTATAGTATTGGATCAAGAAAAAATTACTTTAAATTAACTATATAAAAATCAACATTTTTCAGATCTTAATAAAAAAGCCGGATGGAAGGCAAGAAAAAAACACTTTTATAATGTCAATTTCTTTATTTGTAGTAAATATAAGATGTTTCTTTTATTTTTATAACATGCATCGTTGTTTAAAAAACGTAATCAATTCAAGCAACTTGTCTATGATTACAATCCACAACGTGTGTGACGAAGCTTTTATCGTTAAGATGACGAAACTTGATTAAAATAACATACAGATCCCAAATTTTAATTCTGTGTGTTAAAATACCCACATACATAAAACACAAGGTAAACAATGAACATAACCAAAAGAAAAGATGCAGTATTAATGTTGTTGACCAGGAAACAAAAACTGAGTCTTAGACTGTGAAACATAAGACAAACAAACAAATATAGTTAAAAACAAGTACAGAAATCTATCCTTCCCCCCATCCATCCCATGAAACAAAAGATCTTAAATGTAAATTAAACTCTCCTGCACTAACATTAACTAAACAACAAGATGATATCTATAGTTCTACTGGTGCTACATTAGAGGGCTATTTATGAGTCCATGCCAAGTTGTTGAACCAATCCCATTCCATCCTCCAAGTTGTGATCTCCCACCTGATTCAACCTCATGGATCATGTTCCCTTGATCTCCACCACCACCAGCACCCATCTGCCATGGAAATCCCCATAATACCCCTGGTCTATTCTCTCCCATTCCCAACTGATCACTTGATCTCATCATGTTGCATGTTTCTTGCTTCACTGTTGTCATGGTCACTGCTGTTGTTGCTGCACCACAACTACTGTTACCGTTGTTCATCAGGGGTACTTCTTGATGATCATCAAACATCTGGTGGTTCATGATTTCTTGATCTTCATCGTGATTGCTACTACTACCGTTGTTTAAACCCATCAAGTTTCCGTTCCCAATATTACCCCCATTATACAACATATTATTGTGAAACCCATTTGGGGTACTGTTCTCAAGAAACCCACCCCTGATTGCATCCAGAAAACCCAAGTGGTTACCTTGAGGGGTAAGAGGATGGTTGGAATTTGGATCATTATTGCCCAAATGATGGTCACTATGGTCAAAGTGGTCATAACCCAGGTGGCCATTTCCTTGACTCTGGAGCCTAGCAAAAGCTAGGGAGAGATCAGTGCAGGTTGAGTCATAAGGCAAGTGAGCTAGACCTGCGAGGAGATGATTGTTAGAATTAGATGTCATGATATTGAGTGGATGTTGCTGTTGATGATGTTGTTGGATGAGGTGGTGATCTTGGGGACCTCTGATCTTTGGAAGTGCAGAGGATGATGATGAATTGGAGGAGGTGGCCGATGATAATGTTGAGGATCTCTTGTTCTTCCGGCAGCCTCCACCCACCGGAACATTTCTTAGGGTTCCACCTTTAGTCCAGTACCTCCGGCAGGATTTGCAAAAGTATCTGGGCTGAGTGAGGCTGTAGTTGTTGTAGTAGCAGAATTTGGTGTTGCTGGAATCACATCTTGGGCATTTCAGAGCCTCCTCTGGCGGCCGTGGTTTCTTATCTTGTTGTGCTTTGTTGCACGCCAACATGCTCTCTAGTGTTTGTGAAGACATATCCTATAAAAAACAGATTCAAATCAATACAACAAATTGATTGATTCAATTACAGATCGTAAATTCGAGATAGAATGAAAATAGAGAAAAACTAAGTATTACATTCGACAGATCTAATAAGAAGAATTATCAAACCAATGTTGAGATGTGTGTGTTCAAATTTGGTAACTGCCCGAGAAAGAAGAACATAAATTTCCAAAAGGGCTATAGCAGTAGTTGGATAACCAATAAGCCATGATTGGTTTATGAAGCTCGAGATTTGAACAGAAAAGAAGAAAATTAATCTACCTTCCAAAGTTAAGTCGAAATTCATACAAAAACCTAACTGAAAAATCCAGCTATTGAAACCCCCTTTTCAAATTTCCTTTCAGATACAACGATCGATTTCAATTCGAACACTCGTTAAGAAAACGATTACAGCAAATCATGTAATGAAACCTTGAAATTGCCTATTTCTCTCTACATTCCACAGAGTTCACACATGGAGAACTGTTCCATGGCGACATATCGGAAGGGCAAAATCAAACAAATTACTCCATCGGTAACCTAACTGTGAAGGTAAAATTTCAAGTACTCTGTTTATTTCTATAAATTATCATGAAAATTGAAAGGAGAAAAAACAGAATTAGAAAGATGAAGCTACAAGCAATGATGTACCTGCTGGTGATGATGGTGGTGTACTCCTGAAACATCCATTTCTACTTCCATGCACTGTTACTGTGTGTGTTCTTGTCTGTTTGTGACGTGTGAGAGAGAAGGAGATCAAGGAACGAAGATTAATGGAATCCTTGAAGTTCGAAAATATGGAGAGAGAGAGAGAGAGAGAGAGATTTTCATGCAAGATAAATAGAATTGGAGTACCAGCTGCCTCTCTATATATATACACAAACATATACGTACAGCCCGTGAACGTAAAATCTTACTCCATAAGTTATGTGTATGGATAAATGAGGCCATGTGTTACCGATAGAAATCATTTGTTCCAAATTTTCTTTTTATGTATAGCATTTTTTTTATTAACCTCGATATCTAACCCGCTATACGAATCGATTAATTCTAGGACGACCACTTGTTTTGCAGATAGCCTATAGTCACCGCATTTGAACCTCCGTGGCCACAAGGGAATTCTTATTCCTCATTGGATTTGAACCTGAGACCTCCTGATACTTTTGACCTTTTGAGTCAAGCTCAAACCAATCATGCACCACCCTTATCGTATATCAATGTATTAATTGTTAAAAATGTATACATATAAAATAATTATTTTATTTTTGTATTATTTTATCCATTTCTTTAAATTAAAAAAGAATTTACGAGTATGATCATATCAATTGTATCAATTTAAGACAACAAAAATGAAAGGACGGATAATTGATGAAAATGACATCGACCGTTTTGGTTTCTTATCTTTTTTGCGTGACGTGATGACTCCAAGACTTTAATGTGAGGTAGTCTTGCATGAAAAGAAAGCAAGCAAGTATGTTTTTAGGAGAAATAAACAGTAGACATTTAGTTCATTTTGAATGACGGTGACATATATTAGATACTGAAAAACTAGTCTGGTGCGTAATTTTGGTTAGTTTTCGAACAATATTTATATGGTAGGACCATATGACATATAGACCGAAACTATATTGTGGTCCTAAGGTTTCTCTACAAATACGCAAACTCTGTGCCCCATTACGTCCTTTTTGTCTTGTACTGGTTTTCATCTCGATGATGGATAACCATATGGATAGTTATAGATGTCCTATTTTCTTGGCTAATCGTTTGTCAGTTCGAACACATGGATCGTAATTAATGTATGCCAACAAAGATCAAAGTTCTAATCATTACAAGTATAACAATACACCTATGCATAATGTATAATTTTTTATTTTATTTTTAAATTTATCGATGAATTTTGATAGGATTAAAATAAGATAAGATATAACGGCTTGTTTCTCATCCATACCTCTTAACCATCATCCACCATACCAACGTAGTCTTTCGTTTGTCGTATTTCATTTTCTGACTCTTCGTTTCATTTTGATTTTCTATATTTAGACTTCTTGAATCCCGATATGTTTATATGACGATAATAAATAGAGTAAACTCTAATTTTAGTCCATGAAGTTTAATGAAAAGTCTGAAAGTAGCACCTGAAATTTCATAAGTCTATAAAACATCCTTGTAGTTTCATTTTGCTCTGAAAGTGGTCCTTCATCACAAACTCCGTTTCTTTTCTAGGTTATAGGAGGGACATTTTCGTTCTTTTTCACTTTTGTTTTTTAAATTTCTGTAATAAACCTCAAACCATAGGGTTAAACCCTTTGTCACAAAATAAATGTAGTGTTTTAATTGTATGTGTAGTTTACAGCTAAAGACTAGCCATCAATCAAATATCTAACATGGTCGTTTAATAAAAGACAAATAATCCTTTTTATGAATTTAAAATCATATATATATAATTATTATTTTTGCAAAATAACAAATAATACTGAAATCATATTTTTGAAGTGACTTGCATTATAAATGAGCCGATATAAGGTTGTACATAACTTAATCTTACGTCTATTGTATCGTCACATCTTATATGAAAGAAAAAAAAATCCAATCTTTTGTATATAAATAAAACTAAGACAATTGTCTTTTCTTTTCACGATCATCATATATAGTAATATATAAACTTATGTCATAGTTATTAAACGATGAAGGACAAAATAGTGCTTAAAAGTAGGATTCGTTCATTTTATAATTTTATGAGAACATATTTTTCAACGATATATTTTAAATTTATAATTTAGGGGGTGTTTGGGATTGCTTATTTTAGGTGTTTTTTGACTTATTTCAGTCTGACACCAGTGATAAGCTAAATGCTAGTGTTTGGATGAGAAAAAATAAAACTGCTTATACCAGTGCCAAACCGGTAATAAGCAGTTTTTGATAAGTTAATCATTCTTGACTTGTGAAAAACTGCTTATTACCAATTTACCATTTTAACCATGTTTGTTAATTATTAACCTTATTGATATAAATTATTAATCTTATTGATATAAATTTTTGTCATAAATATTATTATAAATGATGAAAAATAAATTTTTACATGTTAAAAAATCAAATAAGTTAATAAGCAATACCAAATACTCCCATAAGTCAATAATATAGAAGACTGTCATTTTTTTATCATTTTACATATATAAACAAAATTTGTCAAACACTAAAAAACAACTTATCAGCTTATTGTCTTTTGGTACTGCTATAAGCTAATCTAAACATTTTTTTTATAAAACTCTGGTTTGATACCACATAAGTTAATAAACACTTTTTAAAAAAAAGTTGTTTTAAATAAGCAATCCCAAACACCCTCTTAAAAATATCTATTTAAAAATTAAAATCTTAATATATATGTTTTAAAAAAATACCAAAGTTTTTCAAGGAAGGTTTATCTTGACATAGATCTTCCTCAGGATGAACGTTGACGGCATGCTTAACAGATGTAAGTTTACCTTTAAACATTATATTTTAATAAATGTTGGGAAAAAAAATACTGATTCTTAGATATAATTTGTGTAAAAAAAAATAAAAGATCACATCTTTTTAGACAAAGTTAAAAGAGAATGTTATATAATGTAAAAAGAGAAGGTGAATGGGAGGAATGTGAATGGATAGAAGGTTTGAGACATTGACTATACCTTTCTTTCATCTTACTTCAACCAAATATTCTTTCACATTTCAATATTTTTAGTGAGAGAATTTGAAGACTAGACTAGACTAGAAAGGGTCCTCCTTTGCTTTTCTTACCAATTGATGTAGACCTTGTTTCATAATGGAAACATCCCACTCATCCATTATTTCTATTGGTTTGGTCTGGTTTGATCTGGTATGGTTCATATAAACGAAATGTTTTCTTATAAACTCGTAAAATATATCAGTATAACGGTCGTTACAACCATGATGAGTTCTCCAATGGGTGTTTGTAACAATCTGCCCTACATGTGAGTTTCTTATAAGTTTCTGAACAATAACGGTGACCAAACTCTATGCTAACATGCATTAGTTATGGTTATGGGTATGAATTTTGCGTTCAGGTCGTTTGGTCAATACACGGTGGTTTCGTAATTTACTGGTCGTATGGTTTCTGTATTTATAATCGTCTGAGAAAGTAGTTGGTGTATAGAAACTGATCAGAATACTTATAATTATGCTAAAAGACAGAGTTTTTTTTATATTATATAATATGTTGTGTTTAGTGGGGTTTTTTGTTACGTTGTATATGGGTTTTCAATATTCCAACTTTATAGTAAACATTTTTAACGTGGTTGTACTTTGGTTTTGCTACAGTAATGGAGGTTGGTAGGATATAGATTGGGTGGGAAAAATTATGATGTTGGTACTCATTGACAATGACATACCCATCCTTACTATTCCTTTTGTCTTATTAAAATTAAATAATTATATATTGTATTTTAAAAACATTTTAAAAAGCTACTTAATATAGTATGACGTGGTTTGATTCTATTGGTACAATATTGTTTAACTTAAGAGGGTATATGTTTATTTTTCTAAGCGTTTATTATGTGTCTTTTGTCTTGCTAGATGAGCACAATATTACCCAGTAAAATAAATTAGAGTGTTAACTCTTATCAAAAAACGTTTAACGGTTTGAGCGTTTGGGTAAACAACGCCTAATTATTTGACATCTCCGTCACGACATGCCTAACGCCATTCTAAACCTTATGTGTAGTTTATCCCTTTATTGTCACATACATATAAAACGGTCGTTTACCAATACAAAATTAAGTAAACAGTAACCGAGTAAGACAGACCCTAAATACCGAGACAGTATCATGGTCAATAACATTATGAGTCAGACAAAATAAATAAACAACGTTATTCTTATTGGATCAACACGTTTAACGACAGTATTTGTATATATATATTTAATTTTAATATTTAAAAAGGTAGGTGATGATAATGGGGTGTGTATAAATTTGAGTGAAAGGAAAAGAGAGATGAAGTACATGTAGTGATGTGTCACAATCATTATGCTGGATGTCACAAATACATTTTCCATACTAAGCTTCCTCTATTCCCTTGACACGTTCTTATCGTGAACCCCCACCCCAGGTGAGGTGGGTGCTTGTTTATGTTTGTGCTACAAGTAAGGAATATCAACTCATTCTCACTCCAATACTATTATTGTTTCTGTTAAATTTCGTAATATCTTTAATGCAAGATTTTTATAAGTAAAAATATAGTTTTTTTATTTATTTATAAAAATCAATATTTTAGAGAGTTTTATATAGACTGACCTATAAGTGTTTTTAAGTGGTGATATTGTTTGACTATAAAAAATAAATATTATGGATGTTTTTTTTTTCCAGATAATCATCATTGTTCTATTGGTTAGTTCATTGTTTTTCATATGTGAGGTCGTGTATTCATGTCTTTTATTGCAAATTTCTTTTGGAAACGTAATAGATCTACCATTAAAAGCTAAAAACTAAGAAAATAACACTAACGGGATTCGAACTCAGGTTAGGGATGGAACGACCATATTTTTTTTTTACTGAGATACAACAAATTGATATGATGATATTTTTCACGACCCTATATTTTTTTTACACTAGGACGATGGAATGAAGCGATGGTCCATGCCACCACATGGACCACCTAGGCTTGTCCCTATTCTTATAAGAATCTCACACCCTTTGGGTTCTTAGAACTTTGATTTTTACCTTGAAGTTGATATGAAATGACAATCTGCTAG